GTTTAAAATTGCCACGTCAACTCCAATTTAGCTTGTGAGGAGGGGACTCAGTAAAAGAGAATCTGTTTTTTCCTGCTTTTGCTCCAGTGAAGGATCTAACAGACTGCTTCCACCCAACTCAACAAGCATGTCTAATGCTTAACTTTGTGCTCTGATTTTTACGCTATAGGGATGTTTGGTCACACGTGATTGGTTGATGACCGATTATGATGACGATGATGTTCGAAAAAATATGTCTAAAATAAATTGAAAATAAAGTATAAGACAGGTATTATTTGAAACAATTCGATGTGTTGGCTTAAAAAAACTGGTATTGCATCGTAAATAAGCAAAAAATGACGGATGAAAGTTACACAGTCAACTCGCAATGCCTCCGGTAAAAGCGTTTAAAAAAACGATGCTATATTTAGACCTGCAGCACGCTGACTGGTGCATTGGCTTAAAGTCCACCTCGTCTGTTGTCCCAAACGAATTCGCCTGGCGGTTGACTCTACCATCATGGATTGGCGAATTTGAATGGTTGCCACTGCGTGCTTAAAAAGTTTTTTGTAAATGGCGCAAAGTACAACACCGACAGGATGGAATCACGTCATCAGTCTAATTAATGAGGTTTTGGTGACACACTTGTCCTTCTGCATCTTCATGACGTCAATTCATAGACAATTATTGAAAAGGCGCGCGTTTTCTTTCAAAATTCAAGGACGAATGTGATGAAGTGAACCTGATGCAGTTAAACAAATTTTTACAATAATTTGACATTTGATCATTTATTAATTGATACAATTCAGCACTAAGTACGCATGAGGTGTGATGTTTGCTTTCTTGGTAACAATTTCTTTAAAATTTTTTTGTTTAAAGTGGTTAAAAATGGGCTTTTATTTTAAACGCACAACCATTCTAACGACAAGGAGCATTGCCTTGATAAAACGGCTACATTTTATGCTCCAAAACAATTTCCATGGGCTACGACACTGAAAACATGTTGACCAATCGCCGTGTTCTAAACTTTGCAGTCCTTTCATTGGTTATTCTTCATCACAGCGATGGATTTTAATTCCTACCACTCTTACCGGTGAGCGTGTGATTATGTTTGCGATTTTCACACACAAAAAATTTATTTTTTTACAGAGCTGTGAACTTTGAGCTTGTCGTTTTATTGCGCAGTCGGAAATAATTCCCTTGAAATGAAGCACCTCACGACAGTAAAAGGCTCACGCAACCATTAAACTGACGCGTCTTACGGTATGATTTAAACAGGAAAAATGCGAATTAATGGTCGCATTAAAGTGAATAATTTCAATAGACGATCGGCAGCCGAAACACTCAGTAGTAATTTTAATCATCGTTGTGAATTTTTGGGGATTCAGGCTTCTCGAAGATGACTCATCGTCGACATCATCATTGTTCACACTATTACCCTTCAGCGGATTAGTGACCACCTCGGTCTACAAGGTCAAGGTCATTTCTGCCTTGTTTTACGTCAGTATGTGGAAGTGAGGACTGGCGTCAGTTGAGGGATCTGGGGTACCGGCCACAATCACTTCCAGACGACGCCTGTCTGCTTGGACAGCCTGGCTCCACCACTCGACCCAGGCTTATCCCAACAAGCCGCATCTCGCAACTCTTGCTAACGACAACGATTTGCTGCGTTGCAACGTTCCCGATTGTACAATCTTATCGCCGCCGTGTGGTTTGAGAGCACATGCCTTGGCCTATCACAACGGGTAACTCATGCAGGGACGTATAAGGGCGCAGACATATTGGACTACGCTGGCCTCGGCCAATCCGCAGTCTCCCTGCGTACCAATGGCATGCGAGGAGGTTATGCAGCCAACCAGAGACAGACACGAATATAATGTGGTGGATGTAGCCAGTGTGGTGGACTCGGATGGACGGCGCCTGACCTGTGGTTCTGGCTTGCGATTGGTGACAGCCTCAAATAAACGCCTGTAGCTCGGTTCCTCTGCCGTTTTAATTGTTTCTTCAGTATTACACCCAAAACACATTTACTTGTTTGTTTCTTACATATTAAAATAATGTTTTTATCAAAAAGCAAATTACTTTTAATAATCTGCGTTTAAAAAAACCCGAACATTTTTGGTCATGCGTGACTAGGTAGAAGCTAAAACATTGTTTTATGGAGCAGTAAAGAGATCTAATACCACAAAATCAACCAACCAGAAAAGGCATTGTTGTAATGGCTCTGATTGGTTAAGGAATAGGCATTTCGTTTGAATTATTGGAGAGAGATTCTGCAAAGTTTAAATAATGTATCCAAAGGACATTCAAAATCTGGAGAACTTGGGAAAGATCGAGTGACATTTATCAAGTAACGTTCAAGTTTTTTTAACTACTCACTAAAAGCGATGTGTCTGCAAATTATAGGAAGTTTTTACAAGTCTTCTTCTGAAATATCCACATGGCGCGAAAATCAGCACAATCCCAAATTTCTCCACTGACATATCACTAGGCTAAATTTTGAGGTCGCCAGAGAATTACTACTCATTAGTTTTAAGTAGAGTGTGCATACATACAGAATAGCACATCCGTTATCCATTTTAATAATTTAGTTTCATACTTTTTTTTAAATTCGGTAATTTTGACGTAGCCAAACTTATATTTATTGAGTAAATTATGACTGGTCATTAATTTTATTAAAGTGAATTCAGCAAATGTCGGAACAATTTTCGAAAACTCATCGTGCATAAAAAAATAAAGATTTGGGTTTTTAGAGCTGATCACCCAAAGATTTTCTTAAGCAGAGAACGCTGATACCAATCCTTGATGCCATTTCAAGGTCAACTCTCTATTGGTGCCGAAATTTTCCACCAATTAAAAGAACTTAAACAACAGCAGTTAAACGAGTTGTGTGACGAGCAGACAAATTCCACAATTTTATTGGTTAGTTTGAATGGGCGGGAATTCAAAGTAGCAGCAAGCAGATCTCAAGTTAAGGATTACATTAAGGAAATTTGTAAATTGTAAATTTGTTTTACTCACACCGTTTTATCTTAAAAAATAACACCATAGAGAAGAGTGACTGTCCAGCAGCTCTTAAAATGTGGGTTTCGTAAAAACCTTCCACAATGAGAGGAAAAATTAAGAGTCAGCAATCTAGTCTTACTCATGCAACTCTGCCAAACACCTTCCTACTAAAATGTCTTGAGTACCACGCTTTTTATATCATTTCAATCTTATCTCTATATAGTGCATTTTCAATCTCCTGGGTGTTTCGTGAAGCCTTTAATATAGCTTAGCCAGAGGTTGCGAATGATTTTGGCCGCGCCCATTCAAAAGTACTGCGAGCGGCCTCTAGCGCAATTAAAACAAAAAACGCACATGAAGATTAGTGGGCCAATAGGAAAGAGATGCAAATTCAAAAATGTTAGGCATCAAAGAACTCCTAAATATTCTGCGGGAAGCGCAAAATTTAAAAAAAAACCGTGAAAAATTGCATAGATTTTTTTACTTAAGTTTAGTTGAGTGTACAAAATTGTGCTTGTCTATAAGCAGTATCTTGGAGAAACAGTGAACTTATGCACTGATCAGGTTCTCAATCTGTTTTTCAAAAAATTTTCCGTTTTTTTGGATGTCCCGTTAAGAATTATGCACTTCTATAAAGAAGCCATTTCTGCATGACCTTGAGCGAGATTTCGCACCTAGATTGGTTAACTGTTCGTCCAATGACAGGAACACTAGTCAAATTAACTCGTTTGCTCATTCTCGAAACTATGCCATAGTTTGACTGCATTAACATCAACTCCGTAACATTACACACGCTCTTATAAAGTAACCTTTTTTGCATGACCTTGGGCGAGATTTCTCTTCTGGATTGGCTAATTCTTGTCCAATGACAGGAACACTTGTCACATTACCTCACTAGCTCATTCTCAAAACTATGCATTGGCGTCAAGCGCATACTGAATAACTCACTTCAAAACCTGTAAATTTTTTTGGTTTTTTTTTAGTTTGATGTGTGCCAACACTTTTCTTTTATAAAGAAAACTAGCTTTGCTGACGGTGAAATTAATGAAGCATGTGCTTGCGTGCTTGTTACAACTCACACTGCAAATTAACAGCTGCGTAAAAAAATAAATTTTTGCCATTTGAGCATGCTGTCAGAATAATGCCAAAAGTTCAAAATAAATTATTTTAAATTGTGTTAACTCCTTGGTTGCTGGCATATGTGTTGTAGGGGACTTGTGCAAAGATTTTTTTGTCAATACGTGTAAATATTTATCATCTGCAATGAAATTTCATGACGCAATGCAAATAACTGCTTAGCTTCTGTCACCACTTGTTCAGTATTAACACCATCTGTTTATACATATGCTGATGCACCTAGACGCTTAAACAGATTGCTTCAAATGTTTTTTTTAAGGAAATGCTTGTCAAATTCCATGCATAATATTTAAAATTCACAAATGAAGTAGACATCAAATGGGAAGCTTTCCTCAATACATGCAAATTGTATGAAAATTCAAAGTCTAAAATACTTCTAAATTGGCAACTTGGGGCCTTAAACTACGTTCCGTGGTCTAAAATCTCTCTAACGAAAATGAATAGTTGAATTTCGTTTAAACACACCCGTGACCTTGAAACCGCCAATCAGAGACGGCAAAATTCAAGTTGAAGCTGACTTGCTGAACGGCTTCTGTATAGGCACATTTTTGCAAACGTAAACCAATGCATATAGAAGTTTTCGGACTAAACTAACATCGTACAAAACATAATGTTGAAAAGTAGCAATTTGTACTGGAATAAAAAACGCTTTCCTAGCGATTCCCGGGATTTTTTTATGTTTATCCTTGACCAATAAAATTAACCACGATTAAGTAAGTAAAGTGATTTTAAAAAATTTCCAATAGTAGGTGTATTAAAAGCTTTTTGGTTATTTAAACAAAATATACTTTTTAAAATCGCAGAATCTCGGGATCGTTTTGTTTAATTACAAAATGGACTACCAACCTCACAGGCGACATTTTCATTAGAAAATTAAACTACACATGAGACAAAGTTTCTATGTACAGGACCTCCTTTTGTGGTCTTCTTCGATGTTTTGGTGAAGAACACGAAGTTGTTGCGTTGTGGTGGGCACGCAGCGATCGTAGACACGGCAGGACCTGGTAGAATTCGTTGCGAAAGCTCTCATTAAGCCAGGTGTAGAGGAAGGGATTGTACACGGCGCTGCTCATTGCAAGACTGTGGCAGACGAAGAAAACTAGAGTGAAGTAGCCGGACCCGGCGAAGCTCTGGACGGCCTGGGAGTTGGTGCCGAGGTCGGTGACCATCCAGAGGCAGTTCAGGGGAATCCAACACACCACGAAGATGACCACCATTGCAATGAGCATTTTGACCGCTCGTCGTATGCGACGCATTTCCAGTTCTTCCTTCTCCCGGCTCTTGATCCCAATCTTGCGATTCGCGCGATTGCGCAGAACCAGACCAATCCGCGTGTAGCACGCCGTGATGATGATGCAGGGAACAATGAACTGCAGCACGAAGCTCGTCACAGTGAAGACTGCTCTGGTGGTGGGGTGCGGCCAGTTCTCTTGACAACTCGAGGTGTTGGTCTTCTCGTTGAAGCTGATGTCCTGGTAGATGGCAAGAGGGCAGGAGAACACGGCCGAGGCGACCCACGTCACGACGGTGCCGAGGAAGTACGTGAAGTTGGGCAGTTTTGGCTGGAAACGGTACACCGTCACGATGCACCTCTCCATCGCTATGGCCGTGGACGTCAAGGTAGAGACGTAGACGGTAACAGCCATTACCATCGGCAGAAGCTTGCACAGCACCAGGTGGAACGACCATTCTTCGAGGAAGACAATTGCCGGCGTGAACGGTGTTGCCAGCAGCGTCATTAGGATATCAGAGATGGCGAGATTGATGAGGAACAAGTTCGTGATGGAGCGCATTTCCTGCTTGCGAAGGATCACATAGACAACCAGTGAGTTGCCCAGAATCCCAAGGACGAAGATGACCGCGTAGATGAGGCAGATTACCACGCGAATGTGCACGGAGTTTTTGGCGATGTCGACGACACTCCTTCGTCGATGTTCTACGGCCTCAAGGGATTGAGAAAGGATCTGCTGAAGAAGGTACTCATCAAGCTGCGACAATGATTCATCCCCAGCTAGGCTCCACGAGGCCATAATTTTTTTCTCTGAAAGCGCAAAACGCATCTAATTGGTTTAAAATTTCAATTTCGCTGACAAATTTCCAACCGTGCATAAACCTATCTACTGGGCAAAGTAGCTAATATATTTATGCATGAATTTTATGGCGTAATAAAAATATGTCATTTTAAATTAGTCTTGGGCTGTGTAAATAGACGGACAGTTGGCTAGAAAAATAAGACGTCATCATTAATGCGTTATGAAAACTGACGCAACCAACTGTGCCGTTGAAATGTGTAAGTAAATAAAACAAACGGGAAAAATTTTCCCTTTCCGAGTTTAAAATTAACAAAAAAAAGGTAACGTGGGTTGTACGGTTCAATTTGTCACAAAGACAGACATTTTTCGGAAAAAATATTTTGCAGGAAGGCAGCCCAAACCAAATTTTTTTGTTCAAATGCGCATTTTTGTGCATAAAAAATGCCAGAAATTGAAATAACGTTATTTTTCAATAAGGTGAAGTGAAACGAAAGTGATTTGGATTTGCAAAGAAGCATTTCTTGGCGACTTTTTAAACAGCCAAAAAAGTGAAATTTATAACTGCAGCAGGCGAAAATAATTATACTGTTTGCCAATTCAAAATCAAGACGATTATTCCAGTTCGATTTAAAGTTTAAGGACTTTCCCGTTAATGTGTTTTTAATTTTCTGTCAACCAAATGTCCTCACGTCAATTTCCATCTATCAGGTGGCGATCAGCTGTTTTAAGAAATGACATGGCGAAGTGTAAAAAAAAATATTTTTAACTTACAATAATTTGGGATTTTTGTGAATTTATTCGGCTTTCAAAGAAGTCTGTCGTTGTAGAACAATGATTTACCTCGCCAGTTTTGCTTCTGCACACATTCTGTAGTAAATAATCTTTTTTAAGCATAGAAAATTTAAAAAAAATTTGGGCATTTTATAAGTCAGGTCAATGCTTTTGCCACCAATTATCCTTAATTCGAACAAAACCAACCTTTTTTCATTCCACCGCATAAATTTTTGAATTTAACTAAGGCCTAATTTGAACGATTTACCGTAGAGTAAGATTAAAATTCTCAGAAAATTGTCAAGGCAGAAAAATTTGTGACTAGTGAATTCTATATTGCCCTATTTTTACGACAGCTAAGTAAATCTGTAGCTTTTTTGATAGTTCCTAGATTGTACTGTTTGGAATGGAAAGAAAATGTAGTACGACAGTTTTTTAAAAAAAAACATGAAATCTACAGTGTTACAAAGTGTCAAAGCAACTCTCAATTAGCCAGTTCACTTCTAAATCAAACCAGGTGGTGTCATGGGTTACAGAAAATTAGCAACAAATATTTTTTATTTCTAAAAATAGGAAAAAAATTTCAAAGAATTTCTCTTAGTTACTACCAAATTGTCCATCTATCATTACCGAACTAGTAAAAGGATAATTGATGGAGAAAACAGACGTCTTTTAAAACATTACAAAATTGTCAAATTTTTCCAATTTCAAAATTAATTTAAAATCAAGACCGTTAATAAATCACGCTGCAATTATTGGAAATACCTACCTGGATTTTTTTTGGGATTCAAATTTAAACTACATCCACTGTTAGTACAAAAAAAGTGACGGTGGAATCATAAAAGTGAGGAATTTGCAGTGCTCTTTGCATTCACTGTGGCAGCCAATCAAAAAGGTGCTTCTTTTCATCAAAAACGCGCTCGTGATTGGTTTACCAAAATGCCATTTAATGTGTACAGTCAACCTGGAATACGATAAGCCAAAAGGTGCAAAAATTGCTCTGCATTTTCTTCCACCGACATTGCGATTCTTGCTTATTTTAGCCGTTTTCGTCTCTAACAGATCAAAATTTTTTACAGACGGCATTTATCGGAAGTGATTTAGGCAATCAGAAGTCGAATTACGCAATTGGTTAGGACAAGTAAAATGAAAGAAAACTGTGCGAGATAATTTGGCTTTGCATTAAATCCTCTGGGTTATTTGATTGGTTGTCACTTAAAAAGTTTGGAAGCTTATTGATTTATTTAAGAAAATCCAATCTACCCAATTTCCCGTGTATTGATTTAGCCGTCCCGCGTCCTCTTTGTTATTTTTTAAACTGATCTTTTAAAAATAATATTGATCAATTTGTTCTACATAACGTCACTTATTTACATCCGTCTGACTATTATGTCTTTGTTAATTTTGTGCTTGACGACGTTACTATAAGTCTTTTTTTTCTGTGACAAGGAGATGTCATAGTTGTAGCTAAATTTAAACATCATTTAAAACAAATTTGCTTCTTTATGATCTGCTTTCATCCAAAAAATAAGAGTTCTGTAATTTTGCACTCTGCGTTAAAGAGAGTGTTTTTTGGCAAGCATTTCAGTGCTGATTTGACTTGCATTTAGAAAAACTATTTTTCTGCAGTTTTTTCGTTTAATTATGATTTAATTTTGACAAATTTAATCATTACCAAAGGCGAGAATAACTTCATTTTAGACAACATGCTGATTTAAACATTTGCCGTGGTTAGATTACGATTTAAACAATTATTTGCGCAGAACATTGTCAGACATATGTAGATGGAAAAAGAGAATTAAGGAATCTTCAAAAGTGACGGAACGTAACTGCATTGTCTCACTAAACTTATTTGTAGCTGTCCATTAATCTTAAATAAAGCCGGACCAGTTTCTGCACTAATGGAAATCTGTTGACCACGTAAACAATTAAATATTTAAAAAAATTCGCTGATTCAACAACTTCTATCCCATAACACTAATGTCCTGCGGAAATGTTTGCTTTTTAAATGTTAATTAAATCACGTCGGAGATAGACAAGTACGATTCCTATCGCCAAATTAGGGAATTTTTTTCTTTAAACAATATGAATCGCACTATTACACTATCGTTAAGTTTGTTGAAAAATCTTTTTGCGCATTTTGTGTTGTGTATAAACATTTGTAAGTTTGTTAAAAAATGCAAATTATTGTTTCAAAACACGCCTAAAACCTTCTGAGCAAATTTAAAGAGGAAATAATTAACAGTCAAAAAAAACTTATCGTAAATGTTTTCTGAAAATCAAGGCGTTCCATTTTTTCAAAATTTGAATACTTTTTTTGCTAAACAAATGTTTGCTTCAATTAGGAAACGATTTTGTTGCACACCTCTGTGTCCTCCATTCACTAGTTACCTGGTTTAAGTCGCTCAATTTTACCTAATTACCTACGAAAATAAGTCCTAACGCTAACTAGATTCATTTTGCCCTTTAGCTTATCTATCATCCCAAATTCTAAGATAGCGGCGCTTTGTCATTAGCGGGAGATAGTGAAGGTGAAGCTAGCGTTTGGCCAAATCCCAGATTTTCGCCATTGTGAGAATGCAACGTCGTTGATTACCTTGTCCCAAAGCACTCACAGCTAATCCAATTGCTGGTCTGCCTAATTGCTGACCTTAATGATTCTTGATGAGGTACTGGCTTTGTAGATCAAGCAGTGCTCCGGTCAAATATGGCTAATTTTTGAGCAAAAGACTAACTGTGTAATCAAAAAAAAGAACAAGATGGTTTGATTTTATTAAGCTAAAAAGGAAATTCACATTTTTTGCGAAGACATTACACCACCACGTTGTTTGAATAAATTACTTATTACGCTTCAGTTAGTTTAAACAAAACATGCTTCGTCAGGCACGCGCATGAAACTATGGTGTCGTGATTGTTGGAAGGAGCATTAATCATTCAGAGGCCTGCCGATTTTTGGCAAGAAGCTAATTCAAATTAGGTAATTTTAAATATTTTTAGTGTGTACAGACTTAAGATGTTCGGTGGTAAAATGTGGGCTAAAAAGTAACATCCAGGTTTGACTAAAAGTGCGTGCACGCTAACTAATCAAATAATCAAGTATTTGGATTGGTTAGCCTTTATAACCGATTAACTGGTTTGATCATTACTTTGTATTAACACAGATTTATTATTGACCCGTATTCGCTAAAAGTGAACGTCAGTTTTCTTTCATGAAGTGTGTCATACTTTTGAATAATTTGTAAATAATTTGGGTTGCGAAAGCTAGTTTATGGTCCAATTATCGATCTTTCTTACTGATTGGCTATTTTTTATCGTTTGCGCATCAAATACTTGCAAACTACTCTCACTGAACCATGGAGTGTACGTGTGTACTATGAACATTTAATTATAAGGAAGCAGGCAAATTAAGAACAAATCTACTGCCGTGTACTTTTATCACAAAGGAGCTACATCAGAGCACAAATATAGTTGATTCTCGATGGTTTGGTATTGCTTTGCAGGTGTTAAATATTTAATTTTGTTGTGGGCCCCAGCATGTGGTCTTGAACCACGCCGGGGGTACGGAATTAACCCTGACCCGATTACGCTTCCCTAATACCCGCGAGGAAGAAAAAGGTCGAAGAGGACGTGGACACGACCGTTTACTTCAGGGCTCAACCACGTTGATGTCGTTGTGTCGTGTGTGGGGTTTGCGCGTGCGTATTTATACCTCGGATGTGTGTCATACATGCGCTAACATTGAGACCTAGGTGTGAGGATGATCCAAGATAAATATTCGTGCCAATGAGAGGGGAGTGGAGGATCCGCGCGGCTGGGGTCATGCTACGAGGAGGGGAACCCTGTGTCGGAGGCTGGCGCGATCGGATTAGCGAATATGAATCAACGCTATTCACAACAATTTGGAAATCCAGAATTTCAATTAATTGTTTAATGCATTTACGAAATGAGCTTTTGTGTTTTAAAGGATCTAAATGATGGCGCTCTGGTTTTAATTCTTAAGAAATATTGCTGCCAAATTGATTGCATTAAAACAACGCGTAACAGTGAAATTCAAAACCAGTGACCTTGAAAGAGAAGAGTTCACATATCGATTCCTGTAGAATTCAACTCAAGTGCTGCCTATTCACGTCTGATGGTGTCATTTGATTAAACATTGTCATTGAAAACAACTTTTCACTAGGGAATTAAATCCGTTCGCATGTTAATTTCGGAAAAATCAAGGCTGTATCATGTGTCTAGTTTTGAAACAACGAAGGCAAACAGTAACACTGCAACAAAAAAACACAATATGGTGTTTGTCGTCTTGGCAAAAGTGCATGCGAGTGAATTGAGTGAGTCGTGATTAGATTTTACTGTGGATGAAAATTAAAACAACAACCATTGCGCTGTTCAAATTTTAAACTAGATGGGAAAAAAGATTCCCAGTATTAAAAAGCGAAATTATCTGACTAAAAAAATGTCTTCCCGAGACTTTGAGGATTGTATTAATGATAAAAGATTTTTACTGTGAGCATATATTGCAGTATTCTAAATTTGTCCGAGACGTTTGTGAATCTACAGGCAAAAAACGAAGACTTTCGGAGCAAACTGCACAATGGTGCTTTTGACTGCATTATTAGATGGAATTAAGGAGGTTAAGTTACAGCAACACGTAAAATAAGTCATTGGTCAACCACAACGGCCCATTTATTTGCCTTCAGATCTCACGCAAGCCCTTTTACAACGCCCTTACACTTTCCACAAAATCTGCTTAAGCGAACTTCTCGTTGCTTAATCCGTTCGAATCAAAGTGATAATAAATCAACCTCTTTCTCCGGATCTCTCTGCGGCTCATTAATTTTGGTATTCCCTGTGAGTTCAACAAAAAAGATCAAAATATTTCGAGAAGCGCGTTGGCTAACGTTCGCTAATCCAATCACTCCAGCCTCCGACACAGGATTCCCCTCCTCGTAGCATGTCGCCAGCCGTGCGGATCCTCAACTTCACTTTCATTCGCACGAATATTTATCTTGGATTATCCTCACACCTAGGTCTCGATGTAAGTGAATCTATGACTCATACATCCGAGGCATAACTACACACGCGCAAACCCCTTCACACACGACACAACGACACCAACGTGGTTGAGCCCTGAAGTAAACGGTTGTGTCCACATCCTCTCCGGTCTTATTTTTCACGACCACATCCTGAGACCCACTACAAATATTTCCTGACGGCAAATCATGAGTACGTACGCCAGACTCGTCTTTTCAAAATACAATTAGGTGTAATAAACATTTACACTCATGTGTCACTTTAAATTAAATACATTAAACAATCCAAAATTTCCGTCAATTGTTCTTATTCATACCCAATCAAATATTAATAAAATAATTGAGAAAAAAAACTTTTGGGGGCTGTTTGCAAAGGTAGCAGTTTGCACTAAGTTTTCGGTACTAAAATCTACAATTAATGTCTTCTTAATGCATTTCGACGTTAGTGGTCACCTCCTAACAAGACATTAATTCAATTGGTTAAAAAAACGTTTGCACCAAAGTGCCTGCAGTGTGGGAACTACGTGGTCAAAAAAGTTAATTAAAATATTACTTTCTTGATGCCGAAATTTCCTGTGCATTAGAGAGTTGTAGGAGAAAGTAAGGGTTTAGATAAGATGGCCGTTCCGTCAATCACAACTGGTTTCCCCACTTCACCCGTCATATTTAACAGGAGAAGGCTTTAAATTTTAGGAAAAAACGGCAATAATTGCTGAACCTTGGGTCTGAACTTAATGGCGTTTGCATTGGTAATTTAGCTAAAAACATCTACTCCCACGGCAAAATTCGCCTTATTTTCCCTTAAATAGTAAATGCTTCTCAGGCCAAAAAAGTAGGCACATTATTAGTGCGTTTTCATATTGAGTAAATGTAGGGACTTGCGTTTTGTCGGAAACAGAAGCAGGCGATGTGAAGTTCGAGCAGGCGAACGCCTCCGACAAAAATCACGTCGGAATGCTGTACTGATCCAATAACTCGAAGTGAAAAGTTATCAGTGTAAAAGTAGGTGTAGCGTAGCTAAAGCGTGGGGTTATTTTGGAGATGCTGTTGCCAGGGGTGACTGAGTAAACAGAGAATATGTAAACAGAACAGTCACAGATCGTATTGCGGCCAAGTGAGTTGTCATGGCAAATGCCGGCTTTTCCACTGATTACGGTTACTCTTGTGGATCGCCTGAATGAGATGTGGATCCTGAAGGTGTCGTCAAACGATACCTTCAGGCACTGATGGTCACTGAAGACTGCGTCATTAATTACATTTTAAATGTCCGGTGAAACATGACGACGATTCGATTTGTTTAAGTGAATGGCTATAAACAATTTAACACCGATTTAAAAAAACCAATTGTACGCGTGATTTGAATTCACTCAAATAAGTGATTTTTGCTCACAACTGTGGAGGCGAGTTTATTTGCAAGAAAATTAACACGGTTGCCTATAAACTCCGAAGACTCTAGGTTCCTTAATTTCTTCGTTTTTTGACAAAATGCGACCAAGCTTGTTCGACCAGTAAGCAATATTGTTTGCTAAATCAAGTTGAGAAAGGGGATTCTTTGAATTTGACTGGACAAATTGGATTGTCGTGTTATAAATATCTTCTGATCTGCAAAAAATTAATGGATGGTGCCAATCACATTCTCCCTAGTAATGCATTAACGTTGTTATTGTCTCTTCTTTCTGGACAGCCAATCAGAACGGCTTCCGAAAAGGCCTGTCTATTTGGAGGAAAAAGACTTTTAAGTGTGAACGGCTAGCTGGACAAAGTCAAACCGGAATCCCCTTGATTAAACTTTGAGACAAAATTTGAACAAAAAAATTCTCGAGTGAATATATCATCTAATAAGCGTGCTGTGTGGTTAAAACGACTTGTGGGGTGTCAAATTTCGACCGATTTCAAATTCTACCCAATCAACAGGCTGGGCTGAAGTCGATAAACAAAACAAGCCAATAGACAGAAGGCGGACAATACGAATATAAAAACTAATGTGCATAAATAAGTAGAATACTGTCTAAATCCTCAGGAATATTAAAAACATAACCCAATACTTTATCTCATGGTACCTGATTTTCCAAAATCTTTTTGATTTGAGCATGGTGTACATTTTGATGACTGTGAAAAAATCGTGTCCTATTACAAATTCACCCACATCTCACTCAGACTTCGATGACAACTCTGTGGTGTCACGTGAATTGAGATTTAACAAGCTTTAATGCGACCAATTTTGAAAAAAATTTCTCGGTATTAAATATGGCCTTTGTGCGTATAAAGTAGTTTGAGCGTTACAAAATCAATCGATGTTACATTTTGCCAAATCAGTTTGCTGCACTTAAATCAGTATTCAAATGAACCAATGAAAAGAGACGGCCAATAGAAGCGCAAAAGTTGGTGTGCATTTTTATCGTGAATATGATGGTATCTGATCAGAAGATTGTCATTTCACGTGCGGATCGCTAAATTGACGTTTTAAATTCTTCCTGACTGCATCTTTATGCACACGCAAACTCAGTATGAATTGAGCATTGCAACTCATTTTGACAATTGCCAAAAATGTCGCACAAACTTGGTTGTCACGTGACTGCAAACTCAAAAAAGCGCTCTATCGTGACCACTGGCAACTGCTGTCTGGGCCTCTCGTGGTGGATTTAACCTTGAGACCAGTTCTGAGCGTCAAAACGTGCGATTTGATTGGTTGGAGGAAACTCGTGACTCCTCGTCTCAAAAATAAACAAAAAATTTACTTTTAATTTGCCCAATGGTCACGTTATTATTTTTTTTTGAAATTTAACTTGCCGACAGGACACCTCTGTTGCGTGTCATGCCTTGTTAGATTTCCGCTTCCACTAGCTAAGTTAGTTTAAATTTGTGGAGCTATTTTTGTTGTTTGTCTAACACCTCGTTGCACTTTGAACAAGATGGCGCCATGCAGATTCCTAAACCACGTAGATATCGGGCGATTCGTCGCCGGGTGTGGGAAGACAAATTTACCGCTTTCAAGATCGTACCATAGCAACATAGTATGTGTGCATTATAGGCTTTCCAGTTCACACCTCGCAGATGCGTTGCGCAGGCAGCTGAACGGGAAATATCAAAGTTAACCCAGAGCCTGTGTGTTTTGGGTGTGTTGTTTTTTTGGCAAAAGTGGGATTTTACAACCACATGCACAACCATTCGGATCACAACTTCACATCCAAAATCGGGCACATCCAATCGGCTGTCTTATGTCAAGGTCATTCGGGCATTCCTCTCGTCCAATGTGGAATACCCGAGCTTACGCACAACTGGAAAGATTTATTGACCAATTAAAAACTAGAACCGTACGTCAGGCGTCGTCCATTTGAGTTCTACTTCTTGCAGATTGGTTAATGGAAGTGGGACAGTACACGGATGAGTCACCGTCTAAACGCGACATGATCTCGAGTTGAGAATACAAGTTCATGTTGCGTTGGTGACCTTGAGCGCAATTAAGAGTAAAAGTACACACAAACGCAAATTGGCCAATAGGAATAAGTCGCTTAGTTTGAGGTCATTTTGATGAGCACAAACACGAAATGGTTGTGAATAAACAGGAATTGACAAAAATTTGGCAATTAGTTGTGGGGATGATGAATCTCCATCAGTTTTAGAAATGATTTCGCCGACAGACATTTTGTTAGTGTTACCGTCTACTCATAACTCATAAGTAGACATAAAATCTGATTGAATTTGCACTTTCAGGCATGGATTGAGCCTTACCCATATTGTATGAATAACGCCTTGTTAGGGTCGATCGAGTAACAAGTAGAGTCAAGATTGTGGCATATTTTTCTATCGTTACCGAAAAGCAATTTACAAAATATAATGGCTACTTAAATAGCTTGGCGATTTGAGTAGTAAATGCGATGTAAACAATTTATTTTTAGCACTGTCTTCTTATAACACCAGAGTGGACAGCCGTAACTCGATCAATGTATACTTTCACCCAAGACTGGAATAGGTCTTCGCGGTGTTTTGGGCGTCGTCTTCAAGAAGTGTGGCTTCGCCTTCAGCGACAAGTTGGTCTTCGTCGTTGGCCGGTGAGCAGAGTTCCCTGAATGTTAGCACTCCGCGTCCACCCGCCAGGTAGCTCAGGTACGTTCGAGTAAAGTAAAGTGCGTAAAGACCCAACTACAATGCATGTAAAATTATTGCTACTTATACTTTATAAGTAAATTACAATGAAGTAACTTTAAAACGGTTTAAAATGTATTTCAAGGAATTAAGTGATATGTTTAGGTAAATACAAATACCATTTTCGGTTAAAAAAACCCTGGCTGCTCGTTGCGTGGCAAAATCTCGATGTTTGTGTAAACTCCACACAAGACTGACAATTGAAAAATATCACTCCAAGACTCTATTTTCTCCGTATTTTAAAACTTTTCTCTAATCATTTCTTGATCATGCACACTATAGTTGTTTATAAATAGAGCATCCCTTTCCTATTGGTTAATTCTCCTCTTAACTGATAACCAATAGTCATGTTGGAAAATGTATCCAATCAGCGTGCTGCGACAAATACTTAGCAGTCATTCGTCAGAATTAAATCAACGTAATGGAGGTTTTTTGGATCCAATTAAAATGCACCTGAATTATGATGCAAAAGAGGAGAGCAAGAACGCAGGCGGCGACGGCGTAGGCGGGCTTGTTCCAGTTTATTACGGGATAAATAACGCCATTGCCAGTCAAACCTGACCCTCCACACAGCCAATAGACGAAGGTGAAGAGTCCGTAGACGACACCCAAGCAAAGCGGGTACACGCAGTGCAAAATTCGCACTGGAACATTATTGATGAACATGTCGATAATGGCAAATGCCGCGGGGATTGAGTGCTTCAGTTTAGAGGTCAGTGTGAAAAAGTATGCTAAAAAGTAGATAGACATAATCACAATTTAAAAAAAAAATAGATTTACTTAATTAGCATATTTTGAATGAATAAGTAACCCCAATACTATGTTTTGTAAGTATTTAAATATTGTAATTGTTTTTTCGATCATATTGTGCTCATACTCTCCATTTTTGTATTCATATCGGCCGTCTCCTTTTTATTGGTCCATTTGGCGTCAAGTACATCATGCGCATTATTTGAAATCAAAGCAGAACACAGAAAGGGGTTTTTACTATAATTGAATCTCTGCTGCCTCCTATAATTTTTACTTTTTTAAAATTTGTTTTAGATAGACTAAAATAAAATTTTATCCCCGTTTATTCGGTGTTTTAATTGCGTGTCAACTAGGGCTTACCGTAATCCCTATCCCAAAATGCAATCCAGTAAATGCCCGAGGTGGTGAGAATGCTGTTGGTGGCAATTTCGAAGAAGAACCACAATGGTTTATATCCAACAACGTGGTCAGTTTGACCTAAAGGAAGATTTTTACACTGTAAAAAAGGCGTCAGATGAACAAGTGTTCTAGATTTCACGTAAAATTGCCTTGATTAATTCTGCAGTAGATCGAAAAGACTGCAAACGCGACTGAGGTGAGCGTGTAGATGAAAAAGGCCCATTCTGTTGCGTAGGTGAACCACAGGTGTTTTGGCTTTTCACCAAAATGGTGAATTTCAAATGGTATCTCGCAGACCAACCACGTGACCAGGGCAGTCGCGACTACGAATCGATAGGAAATGTAAACCGCTCCGTCCATCCACTTCCACTAAAAACGTCAACAGTAAATGTGACCAATAAGGTGAGTCCATGTAATTTGGTGTGGAGCCTTATTGGCCGGGAATATTTTGTTGGCAAATGGATTACTCTAGATGAAGTTAACACCTAGAAAAATCGACGGCCCTTTACTGGCCCATTTTTTAAATCCCCGTTCTCAAATGCTGCTTTTGGTGTTACCGTGCTGCGTTTCCGCTTACCTCATTTTTATGGGACAAACTTTACTGCTTATTTTATGATTTTTTGTCTGAATTAATACACCCTTCCTTGTGAACAAGCACAGCCATTGTGACGCTCAGTTTGTATTGATACCGGCAAATGCCTGTGCTACATGCAATGAGAAATTTTTTTTCGTCTAAGCCTCTTATCTCAGATGCTGAGTTCATTTATTTCGTTTAAAGTCACAATGCACGTTTTGTAAACGTTTACCAGTACTCTGCGAAAAATCGATACGCAAGGACATCTGGCGATTGGTTCATCTAAGAGTGATTCGATCGATTTTAAGATCCCAATTCAATCTAGCAGAAATAAATACAATCTGTAATTATGGTTGTTAATGTTTACCTAATTGTTTTCTGTTTCCCACTTGGATACTACTTAAATCTTTTCCCACTGTTTTAAATTTAACAATAATTAATTGGCCAAGTGGTTTGTTCACGGAAATCACTTGTAGACACACAGAGTGGAAAGACAATTTACCTGTGGAAGGGAAAGCTGAAAGGGTTCAGGATGCGAAAGACCGAATGATTTCCACTGAAACTCATCTCTGAGGGACCTTCCAAGAAGAGCACAGCAAGGTCCAGTCGAAGGTCGCTGTCCTTGAACCATCCTCCACTCCACGAAGCTTTCAAACAAGACTGCACAAAGATTTCCTTGGCTATCGACTATGAAACCAACAAAACGTAGTAATAAAACAAGTTAACTTTGTCAGAACGACTAGAGTGACTAATCTTGTGACTAGCTATAAATTTGTATGTTGTTTTACAAGAATGGTTTGGCCTTTAAAAACCATATTTCTTGTAACGCCTAGGTTGAGCTGCGCATTTCAAAGTAGATTAACAAATGGAACCCTGAACTATAAAAACGAACCTTTTTGATTGGCTTAAAGTCCTACTCTTGCTTTGTGACACGTGACCAATTTACCAATCACGAATTTTTGTTACATTTTTATCAGCTCTATGTGTTAGCGTTGTTATAATAGTTGAATAATAAGCAAAAACCGCTTACCCTGTAGACGAGACAAAGTGGTTGCAGAGACCAAATTAGCGTGCTTACTTCATGTTTTGCTTTCCAAACCAGCCAATCACGTTGAAGCATTACTCTACCATGAAATTAGGGCGACCAATCATGTAACAGCACTGCTCTGCGTTGAACGCTCATTGATTTTTGCCCAGACCAGTATTATCCAACTCCCCTTCAAAGTGTCATGGTTGAGAGGGAACTAGAAGTCTTCCAAGTGCCAGGAATTAATTGGACGAGAAGTTATGACCCACAAAATAACAAAGATGACACGAAGTTGTCAAAACGTCTGTTTTGCACGGCGCGAAAAACAGATGATCAACGGAACCTCGAAATTCTTAAATTAATGTTGGATCTAGCACTTCTTTAAAGGAATAAAATACGCAAATAATATGCCGAAATCAAACTTTAACGAGGGTAAATAACCATAAATACGCATTAAAAGAAGATTAGTTCATTTAATTAGAAACTAATCCTTTCGGTTTACTCCCAGGAAAGACATTAATTGAACCATGAATAGGGCTAAGTGGATTCTAGAGCCCAAACAGATGAAAACAACGATTTTTAGCAGAACTGTAACGAGGAGGGCTGGCGTGACTCGTGTTAATTCACATTCACATTACTTATCACAATGTCCCCGTGGCTCTTGCCAAACCGTCACCCCCAGCACCCTGTGCGTGTACCTCCCCGACGCTACTCATTCCAGTCATCTGATCAATTAGCCAGTCTAACTTCCACAGATTCATTTTGTCTGTGTCAATTGTGAACTAGTAAAATGCAGACGTCTGAATGGTCACTGGGATAGAGCGGGTGGTGGAGGTGGTACATACGAAGTGGTAAATGACGTGGGTGAGAGGCTGCAACGACGGGTTGTTGGACGTGAATCAACACGATTCACTACACAATCAGCAAGCCCATTTAGTTGGAGGCAATTTTGTGGGCGCAGTGGAGCGACAGTCACGCCTTCTATGGTCCTCTTGACCTCTTAATACCTGAGTGTCGAAAGGGGGCCGATTCAACACAAGTGCTTCATGATCTCAAACCGGGTAACGCAATGAGGGATTATCAACTTGGAGCAAGGCCTGGAACAATTTACAAGTTCTTAAATTCATTTTTTTGAGCAAACTGCATAGCTTAGCTATCATGCCAAAAGACTTTACTAACAAAGAACGAAACAGATTAAACCTAAAGAGGCAGAGTACTTAAAAACACAGTGGCTACTGCCACATTTCCTATTTTACAAGAATTTATTTTTGCAGGTTGTAAATGGAGAGATATGCCGGAACTACCCCGCGTTTGTTTTAATCGGTGCTGTCATCTCCGTTCCATAGCTGCGGCGGTTTGAAAGTTAGCTACTTAAGTGTAGTCAGACATCATTTTTAAACACAGTGGGGAAATCTTAGTTGTTACATGATGGGACCTTTAGCACCTCGTTAGAAATTTCACTTTAATCGTCGTAGCTCCCAAGGGGAACATGTCTAACGCCGGATGGCTACTGCTTTGGACGGTTTTAAATAAATAATAAGGACAACCTTCCTTTGATCCATGTGTAGAATACCCGAGCCCAAGTATGAATAAGACTGGTACAGCAGAACAGGCTTTATTGACCAATCACGAGCCGGAGCCACAAGTCAGGCGCCTTCCACTCGAGTCCACCACGGTGGCCACGTTGCTCATTATATGCTGCACCTCATTCGTGTCCTTCTCTGGTTGGCTGCTTATCTTCTTCGCATGTCATAGGAACGCAGAGAGACACAGAATTGGCTGAGGCCAGGCGGTCCAATATGTCTGCGCCCTCAGACGTCGCCACACATGGGTCATGTCCAAGCCGGTAGTTCTGAGTGTGGGCTAGAGTTCCAACCTCAAATGGCGTTGTCGGTTCCACGCGGGAGGGGGCTTCAGAAGATCCCGTTTCTGGAGTGAAAGACCTGTAGAACTCCTCGATGGCACTGACTTTAGCCCCTGAATGGGTCTACGATATTTTGGTCTATTCGTGGCCAATAGGAGCAGTTACTGACGATCGATGGTGCCGGAATTGACGAAAGACTTTTGAGCGAATGGACTGAGCACATGCCAAGCCAGAATTACATTCTATTTAAAAAAATTGAATTTTTAATCCTAACAAATCGAAAATGTTGACATAGCGCAAAAATCCCTACCTTCCAATCCGCAGCAGTTATTTTTTCAATGATCTAACATTCATATTTGGCATATACAGACCGCCCGAAAGCGGTGAAGTGCACTGATATCTCCCCATATTTTAAATCATCTTAATCTGACGCTTAACTGACATGTTTTTGGTCAAAAGTTCAATTTTTTACATGAACACTTCCGTTTCTTTAGCAAATTTGGCCTTTGCTCCATCGAAGCTCTTGCAGTCATTCAAAAGGTGTTCAGTGTGCGTCAAACAAATTTAGTTGTAAACGATTGATTAGATTGCAAAAAAAATGCAGGATTATCCATCATCTTCATGATTTCGAGGAAGCCTTTTTTGCGGTTATATATCAAGATTATGCGTGGCTGGACCCCTAAGTCCATGTTGGTGTAGGGGTTGAGTAGCCACCAGCTTGACACGTCAAAAGCTGTTAAAATTTTTTACTAGAAATTTTGTTCCGCTGCGCATTGCAGAGATCTGAACTGTGTGTGTGCGTGTGTTCAAGTTAATGAATCTCAATGAATCTCGTTCCCACGCTAATGAAATATCTGTGCGGTTGGTTGACAAGTCTGATTTTCTGTGCTAAAAACAGCACCGTGGTGCAGCTTGCGCGGTTTTACGTCACCACGGCACGATCTACCGATTCAAGGCATGCACGATGCTGCTTCAATTGCAAAGCTTGTCACTAAATGTGGCCGAAAGGTCAACGAAGCGTCTATAATTACTAGGTAACTAAATTTAGAAATGCTTTTACGCATAGCGTAACACATTTTTTTAGTTTCAGCATGTGATTAGCCTTGTCTAATGGAAATGTGGGCACTATAATTAAGACATTGTCTCAGGACATCATCAGTTCTGGTCCAATTTATGCACATCCGACATCGGAAAAGGTTTTTTTTATAAATGAATATCATCTGCTTCGAAGGAAAATAGGTGAAATGGTTTACATGAACATCAAATTAAGTAACGTGAGCATGTTGCGAGTAATAGATGTGTTTGGAACCACGCTACAAGCTCGAAAATGGTGCATTTGCATAGTCAGAAAGTGTAACTAAACTATTCCGGCATTTAGATTCGATCAAAATGTCTTTAATTGGCACCTAAACTGCTTTATAAAATACAAAAAACGTAGAAATTTACTTGTCATGCTAAAAATTGTCCATTTTCATTCCGAAATCCAAGACGGATAAAAAAAGTGCCAACTAGAGCTAACTAGACTGCTGTGGGCCCCAGCATGTGGTCTTGAACCACGCCGGGGCCACGGAATTAACCCTAGGCCTGATTACGCTTGCCTGGTACCCACGATGAAGAAAAAGATCGGAAAGGACGTGGACACAACCGTTTACTTCAGAGATCAACCACGTTGGCGGCATTATGTCGTGTGTGGGGTTTGCGCGTGTGTATTTATACCTTAGATGCGTGAGTCGTTAACAGGGTGGAGAGTTGTGATAACTTTGACGGAGATCACCAATAAACGGAGTAATATACAAAGCGGATAAACCAACCTCGTGTCATTGTGTGCTTGTGGCAACGTCTGAGGGCGCAGACATATTGGACCACGCTGGCCTCAGCCAATCCTCTGTCTCCCTGCGTTCCAATGGCATGAGAGGAAGATAACCAGCCAACCAGAGAAAGACACAAATGAGAAGCAGTGTATAATGAGCGGCGTGGCCAGCGTGGTGGACTCGGATAGAGGGCACCTGACGTGTGGTTCTGGCTTGTGATTGGTCAATAAAGCCTGTTCTGTTGTACCAGTCTTCTTCCTGTTAGGGCTCGGGTATTCTACATGCGTATGAGTACGCGTCCGTAAGAGGCGAATGGTAAAAGAAGCCAATAACAAAAGGGGTGAGTCATTGGTAAACTCGAGTCATCATATGCGCATCACTCACAGTAGATGGCTGTCTGTCCAATACGGATCTTGAATAATCGTTATCTTCTAATGAGGGGGGGACTTGAGGATCCGCGCGGCTGGCGACATGCTGCGAAGTGGGGGGCTCTGTGTCGGAGGCTGGAGTGACCGGAATAACGAGAAAGAATCACCACGATTCACTACAGCTCTCCTCTTTAGCAAGGGGACTCGGCTAACCCTTTCGTCAAACATGGTTTCTGAAAGTTAGGCTGATTGTGATTTGGTCGTCGATGTGGGTTATACTAATATCGTCAATAAAAAGATGTTAATTTAAGTAAACTGCGTACGGGAAAGCCGACAAAGAAGAAACGTTTATTGCAGACAAACTGTGTCGTTGCTACAAGCAGTCTAGTATTATTTATCGATTAATAGCACTAATGTCGATTTACATTTCTGATGACCAATATGAGTATAAAACTTCCTCTTTTGTGATGGTTTTTTTATTTTGCGCGTGTTTCAAATCTTGGTGCTTACAGATAATCATTCGGTTGGAAAAAAGTTGTTTTGGTGTTGTCTTTGATCCCACATTCGTTCAAAAGAATCTATTTTGCTTTTTCTTTAGTGATTCATTTCTAGTGTGTCAATTTTGGTTGTCAACATAATTACCTTCTGAATTACATTAAATGTAAGTTGAGTTTAATTATTTCCCCCATAAATAACTGCTCCATTTCCGCATTAAAATTCAACGCGCTTAAATTTGAGGAAATTGATACTTACTGTAACTCCATCGCCTATGCCAAAAATCGATGATCTGCTGCCATACATCAATTTATAGGCGATAACAAGCAATTGAGTAGTACATTTGAACCGCTAGTCGTGACACGGCCCAAAAAATTCCTACCTTCCCATTCACAATGATTATTTTTTTATTATCTAACATCCATACTGGCTTAGTTGTTTGAATTTGGCATATGTAGGCACTCGCAAAAGTGGCTAACCTGCGGGTGAAGCGGACGTACAAATAACAAACCACCAAGGTCAGGATGAAAATGTTGACAAAGAAGATAAGTTTTACTGCAGACGAACTATGCTGTTGCTACAAACCCTTTTAGGTATACACATTCTTGTTTTTTGCACTGAAATGGTTACTATGCGATTACTACGACAGTCAAAAGCCGACTTAATTTCTTGATTATTACTCCTCTCTGGACTTTTTTTGAAATTTGACAAATCATTGCTTAAAAAGAAATGGCTAAGGGCTTGCGCCAAGGCACGGCTTGACACGACCCACTTTATGTCTCTACACGCGTGACTAATTGGTGATTGTCTTCCTGAAGGCTTTAAAGTGGAACAATATTATAGGTCCTAGTGTCTCCTCGTAGCCAAAATAACCCTAGCGGATATTTGTGTGTAGCTCGCAGAAATAGACAGCCATATATTGGTCTAGCCAATTATTCACTTACAAGTAAAACAGACGGCTTGGTTTGCAAAGGACCTAATCACGTTAGATGCTGCTATTGATCAGTCACAAGTAGCCACACCATTCAGCTTAAAGTAGTCTCTTTACTAATTTCAGGATTTTTTTCCAAATTTTGGCCATCTTAAACTATAATAAAATAGTTCGAATACCTTGACCAACTTTCAGAGATTCCAAAACGTGTTTCAAATGAACTCCGTAATATATCAAGATGCCCGTAGCGTCACATTCATGTCGAAGGAAGTATGCAAATTTTGCTTTTACAAAAGAGTGTGTGCGTTACTAATATAGAGCAGCATTTTATTATGTCTTTTCATGCACATCCTTGGCCACTCAATGCTAAAAAAGATCACACAGTGACATAAACAAATTAATTTATAACCTGATAAATCGATATGGCGCTGATACAATTCATGGAATATGCCTGAAAAGGAATCCCTGTGAAAGATATGTGTAATTAAGTCAATTACTTTTGCGGTCTTTTTACATCTAACTCTACAACCTGGTTCAAAAAAATCATTAGTAGCTCGAAAAGGGGCACAACAAAAAGTGAGAGTTTACGTTTACGTAGGTCCACCATCAAAAGGCTCTATATTTTAAGTTCAAAAAAATTCAGGTTAATTTTTTGCGCTGAACAATAAAATGTTAAAAATTTCATTTTAAACATAGATAATTGTGGATTTAGAACTGTAACTCATGCAGTGCCCTTGTTTTCATCACTAAAGCATGGAAAATAATTTAGTTAAATGAAAATCATAGTTTATAACCAAAATGTTTTCAAACTAACTTACATATATTTAATGGAATTGTTGAGAAAAATTAGCACCTAATCGAAATATGGTCTTATATAAACTATGCTTAAATTTGAATAGGAAAACTCCACATTTGATATTAAAATGCAGGTTCAATTGAATACAACTTATGTGAGCATACAGGTGAATCTCTATAACACACTTAACGTTTCATTTAGATCTTTAGAAAGGATACAATGATAAGTACTAGTGAAGTGACAGATAATATTTATGAAAGAGGAATTTGATTAGAAAACAACCAAAAAATTGCCAAAAAAATATCATGAAATTGAAACATATATTTACCTTGCTTATTACATTGAATATTTACCCAAACCTGGAGTGCGATTTTATATTCTTTACCTTTTTGGCACTTATTATCTTTACAGGCCGGAATAGCAAAGATGACAGATGACATTCAGGCTGCGCTGACAATATTGAAGAAATCACCACCCATTTATTTTCCTAGGTTGTCAACTTCCTCCCTAATTACTGAATTCGCAAACCCCGTGCGTTTTCTTGTATTTAAAATATTTTGGAAAATCGTAGATTGAATTAAAAAGTATATCAAATATTATTTTTAGTGCTCAGTGTTTCTTGTGACCAGTTGAATAAGCAAGCACACTTTTTCCCTCGTGCAAAGCTAACCTCATTGGTCATTGCTTCATAATTAGCCTAGCCAGGGTTTTGTTGTGGGTAGTATCTGATGTAATCTCCGTCTTCCCAAACAATTTCTTGCGGTTTTAAACCCCATCGTAGATAGTTTGGTCGTGCAGCGTAAATACAAGATATTTTTTTGGATTTTCGCCCTTAAGCCTTCGTAGTGGGGCCTAGTCTTGCAGCCAAATATTTAACCGCGTTTTTACTATTGAAACTATTCTATTTTGCTTTTGATGTTTCTTTTTTTCCTATTTTAATTGTTGCATGTGGGCGGTTTGTTCCAGTCGGCAGAAGCAATTAGTGTCGTGCTAATTAAAGAGACAGTTTGCTTTAAATAGCCACGTCAGGCTTACATGGGTCTTTAGTACATGTCAACAATCTATCTAAAACCATTAAACCGTCTTAAAATTTGTAGTAAAAGTGACTTTTTTCAAGTTAATATGTACACGACTTTTAAGCCATTAAACTTGCCCATTTTGCTTGTCGCTTATCTTTCTAAACATCTGTTAACATAATGCGAATATTTCCTAATTCCACTGTTTCATCAATTTAAATGTGTGCTTTAACAATTATTTTCGAGGAACTCGTTATGGTGCGTCAGTCTCGTAACCCAGGGCAAAGGTTGTGCCCAATCTTGTCCTAAACAGAAAGGTTGTCATGTAATGCTGGCGTTTGGTGTGTACGAATTGTCAAAACCTGAAAGTACACATTTTATGCTTTATTAATTCGAATTAAAATCTATTCTGGTTTTGATAAAAAAAATCCTATGTACGCTAGAAGAATATCTGTGCCAGCACTAATTTGTCTAGTTTCAAAGGATTACATACCTACTATTTCTACCTTATTAATATCAGGGAAATTTTACGTAATGGGCATTTATGTTTGGGTCTTTATTCTTGATGTGAACATCTATTGCTGATATTGCTTACACGTGAGGCCTTTACTTCCAGGTCACTTCTTTTTCCCCAGACAAAACCATGGCTTTGCGTCAAATCACCTCGATGCTGGCGATGTGCCGACTCAGTGCAAAGGCGCCGCTTCTTCAAAGCCTCATACCCAGAAAACTGCATATGCCTCCAGCCATACCACAGCAGATCATGCACCAGCACAAATACGAGCCTTACGCGACGCCCCCGCACCATAGCAGTCCCGAGCACGAACGACTGCTTAAAGAGGAACTCGTCAATTACCCGCCCTTTCGCAATCGACGCAGTAAGCGCTCGCTTCCAACTCAGACCCCGTTGCTATTTTGTTGTGTGCCACCTCCTCACAATGCCTAGTCTGCTGCCTACCTAGTTATTCGCACGTTTGTTATGCTGTAGTCTTGGCGCTTAATGCCCTACCACATCCGCGGCTGTTTACTGTCATGAAATGATTCCAAACAACCTGCAAACCTGCTGATTTGTACCTACTTTAGTTCGACACGGCTTTCAAGACGCCATAATGGTTCGCGACTATAAAAGACGGATGGTCGCCGCCCACTTCGCACCTCTCCGAGTGCGTCTGAATGCGATCCGGAAAAACACCCTTCTTCCCAAAGATATACGGGTACGTATTCCGAAAGCCACCACCAAATTGTTCGTTAAGTGGTTATGGGACTTCTATGGAAAGCCATCAGGCTAGTTGGTGATTGCCACATCCCGAAAAAAGGCAAATTAACCTCGAATTCCTTTTTGTGCTTAAGGACACCGCCTCCGTCCAAATCCACTCCCTCCCCCGTGACAGCTGTTTCACTCGAATAATGACACGTTGTGTGGTCACTTCGAGGCGCCGGGGCTGCAAAACCCGCTGGCGAGTGTCGCGCATTATCTTCCGCAACTACGCCGACTACAACCGCATGTCCGGCGCCGAGTGGGCCGTCTGGTGCCACCAGACCCAATGCACCCGGCGGCACATGGCCTGGCCGCCGCCCGCTTCTGCAGCCAGCACGAAGGACTACGTGGAAAAGTATCACAAGTACCTCGCCGACTAGGTCGCGCGACTACGTCCTTTGAAATAAACACCCTGTAGATATGCGCTCGCTTCCCCCCCTCGCCGACAGTTTGTACTTGGGGGTTATTGTGGTGTGATGTGTTCTAACTCACGTCTGTTTATATCCGGGTAAAGTAGATGTTGTGGGGGTCTTCTATGAAAACCCGCCTAATTCGTTGCTGCAAATCGCTCCACTGACGTGTAGGTTGAAGCACGAGATTTATCAATCCGGGGGTGGGTGTATTGGGTCTATGGCCTTTCACCAGTGGTTAATGTTAGGGTCTTGATATATCAAATTGTAACAAAGAAAGTTGAAATATGTTCGCAGCAAGTTAGCAAAAAAGCTGGTGATGAGAAGTAGAAAGATGGTGGTGTGATTTCGGTTTAAGGGAATATCCAAGTCGGGGGCGGATAACTACAAGGAAAGACAAGAAAGAGTTGAAAGTCGTCTAGGAACAGCCCCTCAAACACTTCTGAGTAAAGGGTTTACTAAAGCATCGTCAACAAAAATAGCTATGAACTGACGATTCAAACGAATTTGCCGGCGTGTGTGAGTATTTTTCGTAGCCAACGACAATAATCTCTGATTAATCGTAGCTGCAGCCGGTCCACAAAACCGAAAATTCAGTGCCTAAAACGGCACTTTGTGTGTGGATGTCCTTACCTAGTCCGACTTTGCGTGCCTGTGGGCAGCCGCTCTCGCAGCGTTGGTCTTGCGAGCCTTGCGTTTCTTGTCCTCCTCCTCCTTCTGCAGGATTTTGGCCAACTTGAAGGAGAAGATGGCGCTCAGGAGGAAGAAGGGCGTCACGAAGAGGAGGATTGTGGTCGTGAATCCCCATGGATCCTCGATCGCGAACAGACCCCACTTCAACGGACAGAAGGACAGAAGTTAAATCAACCCAACCGGCGTAAATTTCGACCCCTGAACTACCGGAGCATGAACACCCAAATCCCAGTCGTAAGTGCCGACGTACCTCCAATAGTTTGTACGCGAACCATCCTTTCCAATCCTGAGGGACGGGAATTTGGGAAAATTCGATCTTCTTCTGGAGGAGGTCGTTTAGCATATCACCTCCATACGAGGGCGCCGCGGCTTCCATGCCTTCCGCCATATTAGCCTATTTAAACAAATACCAGTCAATGCATGCGTCCAGTCTCCTGATTGGTTACTCCAGCCTTCTGTGGACAACACTTGTGGTAGTGCTTGTGGGGCGAAATTGGGAAAAAGGCGGCAATCAAGCGTGGAGGAAAAGGGTAGACGATAGCATACAATCACTCTATTATCTGGTAGTTTTTTTGTACATGGAGGGGGCAGCTAGGATGAACCAGGGTTTCGCGCGCTCCTCGTCCACGTGCGGCAGGAAGGTGATTCGACCCAACCGGCCTTCGTTGAAGGCACGCAGGAAGTAGGCTGCGGAAGCGTTGAAATCGGGCTCCATTGTCTTTAGCCGGCTGGCCGTGGACTCGTGCTCCTCCTCCTCCTCAGCAGCCACCTCTGGAGCCTCCCGATCGCGACTGCGTCGCGGCGCCGCCTGAACGAGGCGTCGACGAGCCGCCACCCACGCGAGCAGCTCGTTCACGTTGGAAGTTGGACCGGGCATGCCGAAAACAGACACGTACTCGTAACGGCTGCGTCCGTTTAAGCAGAAGAGCAGGTAGTCGGCAAGGAGGACTGAAGGGGGTTCATAGAACCAAAAGGAGGGTCAAGATAATACCGCTCCCAATTGAAGTGAGAACAACGACATGGAGCCACTAATGGCCCACGTTAATTGGACAGAGACCGATCGATACCATAGGCACCAGAGATCACGGCTACTTTTAGGTGGTGCGCAGATGATACATTCACCATGAACAATTTCTAGCCTTCCGTCGCACTTCAATGATCCAGGAAATTACTGCTGACCACAATTACTCTGGATTCCTGCAACATTCCTCTATTTTTTGGCAACGTAGCCAGAGCCAGTGTTGCCTACTCACAATATAGTTCGCTGACCTAACTTTGGTTATTATGATGGATTCGACATATTACCTAATAAAAGGTCAACTATAATCCGGTCTTACAACTTCCGCCACACTCGTTGGGTAAATTTTTAATGGGAGTGTACCTGCCTCGCAATAATTTACCCAACAAACGTACCACTAAATCTCGTGGATACATGGATTTCACAGAAACTAGAGGGGCAGTTTTTAATGAGAAAAATCACTTGTATCCAACAGGCTTAAAGTGACGAATTCGAACATTCACGAAGGATATACTAAGTCAGCCACAAGATATTTGGCGCTGGTAAGAGGTAGTGTCCATTTGCCATTTCACCCAGGTCGACTAAGTCGATAAAAACCTGGCCACTGTCCTCAATGCTTGCTTGAATCAGTTCTTACTTCGGGATCAACGACGGGTACCAATACAGTGACATCTGGTTTGAGTATTTGTAAGTACATGACATCACACGAGCCAAAGATACATGGACCGTCAGTTCTGCATTACATCGTCAATGTGGACTTCGATAGGTGAATTTCCATTCAAGTGACGACAACCTCCAACTCATCAAACGTCTACCACAGCTTCGGTAGTCCATTTAGCTCCAATCTACTGCCGATGCATGTCACGTCGAAGGTATCCTCTAGCCAGCAGTAATTCAACCAGTCAACTGTTCAGTCTGCTGTGGTCCATGGTGTGGTTCCATAAATTACACCGGTCTACACTGACACGGTTCGACGGAACGAAGAGTGGAAATGCAGATAACGTGTAGCTAAGTTTATTTACTGATGCAGAAGACCAGGTTCTACGACTAGAAGATGAGAATATTCAGATGACTCAAATTGCTACTGCACTTTGGAGACTGTTTCCAAATAATTTATCCCAAAATTCGTAGTTTAAGTAATGTATAAATCA